ACTTTGTCAGTGTACATACATACCACCTCTTGTCAACGATTCTTCCCATCGATACAGATGTTTAACTGACTTAACTTTGGTGAATTTATGTTGCACACTGTCGAGAGTCCTGCGTGCTTTTTGGCCGCTTCTCCAAAACTCAACAGCTCGAGTTTTATAACTTAAGTCTACTTAAGTCTAAATTCACTGTTAGTAAATTCTTCGTTTTCCTGGATATTATTATCTTGAACACACTCACATTTTTGAGATCGCGTTAGATCTTCGTATTCCAGGGTCGTAACATACTATGCATAATTTCCGACAGTTCGACTATGATTAACAGTTCCCTATGATTAACAGGAAATGGTGGTATACTGGATATATGTAGAGCTGTTACCAGTAAATTAATTACGTTTAAGTACCAGTGACATTGCGTTAGCAGTTTTTAAAGTTCATGGTAAAACATTGGGGAAACGCGATAGGGTTCTTGAAACTCACAATCGAATGATTAAATGTATAAAACAAAGTACAGTTAAGATATTTAACACATTTTAATATTTTTAAATATGTTATTGTGTTTGTTATCATATATATTATGACCTGCAATGAAAAGAAGAAATCTGAATTAACTAAACTTCATTTCGTTTATGGTAAAAAGTGATGGAAAATTGTCGTTATTGGTCACGGCATAATCCAAAAGTTCCTTTACTTCTTTATGATAACAATCTAGAAATACGAAAGGTGTTTGTAATCCAATTCATCCCTGAGTCGAAGGTCAATTCGGACTTGTAATGTTTCGAATTTCTAAGTGTTTGTAGATATCGAGACGATACTGATTAACCAATATTGATGTTTCCTTATTCCCTTTGTATCAAAATGTCCTAACTTCTACATAATGTTAGAAGCCCAATTCTTTCCAGTTTCATGTTTTTCAGTTTCCTAAAACATATGAAAATACTTGCTGTAGCGATGAGGGAGCTACGTCACCGATGATGCGGTGCATTAATATCAAGGTTATAAAGGTCTATATGTTCCTTTTCTCTGTTACGTATCCGTCTCGGAAATTTCCTTATATAGTGTTACAATCCCTTCTCAAAAATTTCCTTATATGGAATCGTATGTGCACACCCGGCACCAACCGTCTTCTGGAAAATTCGAGACCAATGTGAAGCAAGGGCGCGGTTCTATGGGTCACCTAGAGTCCGCCCCTACCACTCTTTTTACTCCAATTTTTGGGTATAAAAAGGGTGGCGGCGAAGGCACCTTGGGTCTAGTTGAAGTCTAGAATCGGTTTGATACACGTCAGTACGTTTCTCTTACGGATAATCTCTGCAACGAGGAAACTCTGCGAGATCGGGTATTCAAGTCCCCTTCAAGTACTCAGTAATTATACAGTACGTTGTCTGCTGTCAAGCATTATTCTGATCGTTGTAGTCCGCCCCCGTTTGCTCGCGTTTGTAAAAACCGAGAAAGATTAGATTCTTGCTTCGCGGAATCGAAAGTAAACTTTTATTATACAACTCATTTAAATTTGTAAATTAGAATTTAATTCATTGAACACCGCGACAATTACACACAACAATTGTAAGGTCCCGGCATAGAGAATAAACTCATATTATTTAACTTATCTATTACTGTCCAATTATATTGACTAGTCCAGAAAACCTACTAAGCTGTACCTTTACCACTCGAGGTACACCAATCAAGTTACGAGACCTAATACTAACATTTCCTTCGGCTCCCTACGTTAGCCATACGTAGGTTCGTCCACGATAACCAACCTCCTGGAGCTCCCTACGTTAGCCATACGTAGGTTCGTCCACGATAACCAACCTCCTGGAGCTCCCTACGTTAGCCATACGTAGGTTCGTCTCCACGTCTTCTTCCTTAGGCTCCCACTGTTAATGACAACACTGGTCAAGCTATTAACAAATATCATAACCGAAATTAAGCCCCGGCTACGCAGCCGCCCCCTCCGGCTCATAAAATCTCTTTTAATTCAAGATTTATTTTTTAAAAGTCATAATATCTTTAATTATTTAAATAGTAGCGGTATTTGAAGGATAATGTACAAGGTACTGAATTCATTTATATATCTTATAAGATTTTTTACTTTTATCTTTTCACATAAAGTAAAGTAAACTACTAACAATAAGCACAAATTAAGTCGAATATAATGAGCTAAAAATCACAAAGTTTACTAAACACACAAAATCGTTAAAAGATTATGGTAACGTCAATTATTCAAACAATCGTGGCACTTATCAGAACATCACGTGAAAATATTCAGATTCAAAAGTGTAGTACAGTCGTGGAAAATTACAGCTGGGTCGTGGAAATTTAACCGAGCAGATTTTAGTGAAATTTAACCGAGCATTACTGTAATATTAAAAGTACTGAATTAAGTTCTGTATCTAACAAAATGATAATTATGCAGATAATTGACGACCTCGCCGATTTTGATGACCTTGAAATACGTTGTCAAGGTCACTATTCTGAACAACTTTTCCCTATACATGTTACCACCGCTCGGCCTTCCTTTTCCAGATATTCGCAAAAATAATTTTATTGCCGTCATTCACCGACTGTCGATTCAAAGCCACAATTTCAGACATTTTTTTTCCTGCAACAAAAAACAAGAATATGGAACTTCGTTCCATGAGCCCTGCGATGCAAAAAATAAAACATCCCCCACGACTTGAACAGTAATATATTAAATTCGTTTTGCTGACTGGGGGGCTGAGCCCCCTCCCAACAGCTACACTAACTGATACCGATACCCCTTTTTAATATAATATAATTTAGTATAATCGTTTCACGTGGAAATTGTATCCGTGGAGGTAATTATTTTTAACTCCCGCCCTAAGAAATATAGCCCAACCATATCTAATATTTGGTGGTTTAAACAATAATGTTATCAACTGCATTTTTTGATATTATGGTAGATTTCCAATTACATAATTATCAATAAAGCAGTGTATTACTAAATACACAGTGTAATTTATTTTTACGTATATCTTGGAAACTAAGCCCGAACGGCGGTAACATGTATAGGGAAAAGTTGTTCAGAATAGTGACCTTGACAACATATTTCAAGGTCATCGATATCGGTGAGGTCGTCAATCATCTATATAATTACCGCCTAAACAACTATTGTTACTCTTCGCGGTTTTGGTTAAGATAAGTAAACTCTAAATTCTGTCACTAGCCGCTCTATCTTCTATGTACAATTACGCATACGACCCTTAAATTCCTTACGTACTATCCCTGTATCATACGCTTGATCCTTCGAACCTCACAATCAGTAATATTCAAGAATTCCTATTAGTCCTCATTCCCACCACCTTCAAAATCAGACTTCCGACCCTTTAAAAGCAGTACCAGAACACTTTTCCTTCAGAATAGGAATAAAAATAAGAATAAGAATCAGAGTCAGAACTGGAGTTGTATGATCACGTAAGAAAGAATCGCTAGTAATACAAAATAACTGTAAGTATCTACATAATGCCAGAATTTCGTGTACTAAGTTTAATAAACTATTTATTAAACATCGGAATCTAACAAACTGTTCCTAAAACATGCAAGGTACATATTTCATAACTGGTGATACAATCGGAAAGTGACTGATTCTGGTACATGAAAAAATAAGTTGAAATTATAGAATAAAATTTGTTCATATCAAGCTTTATTTTAGAGAAAATCATCTTCAAATATTTTCCCGCTATGTACATATACATGGTGGCTCACATAACTCTTAACAGCTCAATATCTCGAAAACTATGACATCGATTTTAAAGTTCTTGGTCTCAAATTGCAAGGATCTGAAGGGCCTTTCTAACTACATAAACATGAAGTGGCCGCCCTTTCTTCTTTAATGGGGGGCGGGGGTACCTTTATAATTTTAAATGGAACCCCTTATAAAACGTTACATATTTAGATTCTACAGGAAAAAACAAGTAAATTTTGTCTGAAACATTTTTTTGTCAGATATTTCCATGATAAGATTATAACAGTTTGAAGTTTCGACTTGTAGGTACTTCCTTGTAGGTACAATTCTTGAAGTTGACTCACGATCAGTTATCCATGAAAACGTTCTCATCATCAGTACGATGATTTAAATAACATTTTTCGCATGATGCGGTGCCACGCGAAGTTGGCACCTCATATTTTCAAAATGCTATTTTTTGAACTATTTCTGAAACCTATCAGGAACTATAGAACTATTGCGGGTGCAAATAAAACTGTTGCTAAAAGTTTTGTTTTTTGAAAATGAGGTGCTAATTTCACAGATGCAATTCAATAACGCTATTTCCGAGCGCTTCAAGTAAGTATATCTACAAGTCGAAACTTCAAACTGTTATAATCTCATCATGGAAATATCTGACAAAAAAATGTTTCAGACAAAATTTACTTGTTTTTCCTGTAAAATCTAAATATGTAACGTTTTATAAGGGGTTTCGTTTAAAATTATAAAGGTACCCCTGACCCCCATTAAAGAAGAAGGGGGGGCCACTTCATGTTTATATAGTTAGAAAGGCCCTTCAGATCCATGCAATTTAAGACCAAGAACTTTAAAATCGATGTCATAGTTTTCGAGATATTGAGCTGTTAAGAGTTATGTGGGCCACCCTGTATATTTAATTGAATTAAGTACATATAAGATTATTTTGGTGTTTGATACAATAAAGCACAAAACACATTAACGATAAGTGTTAATAGAATACAAAGAATAGAATGTTTTAAGTCGACTTTTTTGAAATCAACACTTCATATTTACAACTTATATGTTTACAACTTATTTTTACAGATAAAATAACCTCCTTTCCAGCTGTACTACCAGTTATGAGACATACTGTATATTATATGTTGTAACATTTCTATTATTCCTTCATACATTTTGTAAAGTTCTAATTAATAATTTATGTACTTATGTAAGTGCATAATTTCATTTGTAAAGTTATAATAAGTTAATATTCAAATTGACGTATATACATATGTCTAATATTAAAAAACCGTAGTGTATAAAATTTATTTCAATATATAATTAACATGCGACTGAGGTCATCGAATCGATTAAACATAAGAATTTTATTGAATCTTTACTCCAAGTGTTTAATTGACAATCGGTACGTTGTATATTTGATTTATCATTCAGGAATGATTTCACTCTCGCCTCATGACAGTTTAATGATAAACAACCTTCTGTAGGCCGTGAAACATTGACCTGATAATTTGGAAAGTCAATGCTATTGAACTAGGAGCTTAAAGAAGTAAGAAGTTTGTACGAAACTCAAAGACAATATTATTTTATGGGGTGATGTTCATAATTTATTATTCTTTTTTTAATTTATTGTTGAATATATAAAACATGAATAGGTTATTGGAACAAAAATCGGGGAAATCAAATATTTGGAGTTGAATTACGTATGGAAAATGGTGCATGGGGATCAGTTTATCACTAAATATATTACATTGGGTTCAATTAGGTTAGGCACGTTAGGTTTTCCATCTTATGCATATATAAATGAAATATAATAGTAAATTAGGGTTAGGTTAGACCAGGGATGGCCAACCTTTTCAGCAGGCGGGTCAAATTTCAGATATAATATTTCCTGCCGGGCCACGCACCTAATTTTTTTTTGTTAGTTAAAGTAAACAAGCAAGCGTGCTACAGCTTCGACCACATCGTCGCTCATGATGTAATATTCTTTAGGTGATATGTACGATAAAGTTATTTGTGTTCATTTGACCTAGCTCCGCGGGTCGCAACATGACTCTCGGCGGGCCGCATGCAGCCCGCGGGCCACTCCTGGGTTAGACGAAGATCAAAGTTAGGAGTTTAGATTAGGAATAGGTTAGGTAAAATTTTTGGTACGATTTTATTTTAACCCCCCTCCCCCCGCCCCTCTCCTTTTTTGTACCAGTCAGACGTCATTCTACTCGTTTTGACGTGCTGAATATGAATATGATAGACGTTTTTGGCGAAAATTACAAGTTTCCGAGATATTTGCAAAAAGTTTCTTACTAATACATAGAATTTTATCCAAGCGTGTGCATCTGTGACACAGTCACAAGCATGACTGACCTCTTGTATTACAGATACATACGTTCCTTTCAAGTGCCCACTTGACTATCTTCAGTATGTCCTTCATTGTTACTTTTTCTTACGTGACTTTTCGAGAAAACGAAATGTAGACCCATTTGAAGATCTAATAAAGTGTATTCAGTTGGCATTTACCCTGTAGCGCTTTATTGCATTTTTGGTAAGTAGGATCAAATGATTTCAATTTTTATAAGTAACTGAACACGTAACTGCATCCCCTTCCAGCAAGACCTATCCTAATCTAACCGAAATTCGTTTGAATGCTCAGATAACGAAAAATGATCATACGTACAGAATCCTCACTGTTCATGACCTTTGGTGCAGTGGTCGGATACAACATGTAAACGAATCTAACGAAAAGTGTTATCTTTGGTTTGTATATAGTGGCGTAATTTCCACTTTCTACTATGCTTGTGACTGTCACAGATGTACATACACGGATGAGTAATATTGTATATATTAGTAAGAAAATTTTTTGCGTATATCTCGAAAACTTGTAATTTACGTAAAAGGACAATTATATTCGTATTCAGCACATCCAAAAGAGTTGAATGACATACGACAAGTGCTAAAAGCTTGGGGGGGTATAGTAAACTTCAGTGTTAGATTCAGGTTAGGTTAAGATTAAATTATATTAGACTCGGATTAGGTTTGGGTCATGTTAGGATAGGATTATGTTTAGGGTTTGAGCACAGTCGTATACAGAGGTCTAGAAACTCTTGAATGGTGGAAGTTATTTCCTTACTAAAAGCCAGTGTCGAAGCCCAGAAGTTTCGTGAATCTTCCGTCAGCCATACAGCGCTGCTATTGTAGTATGCTATAACCCGCCCCACGTGAGTTGTCAGGTCCGTGTATACAATCGTTGACCACTGTGAAGATAAAGGCTAGAGTTAAGTCACAGCCGACTCTAGTACTAGCCGTGCTGAAGTAAAAATGGCAACACAGCGGGAGTCCGGTATGAATATATCAACACCTACCCTACTCTATCTGCCTCCCGGACTCCCAGACTCTCAGCCAATCAACGTCGTCAGACTCCCGACTACTCTCTGGACTTCACATAACCTCTTTGGTTTCGTTCCAATAATTTCGCTTGTTTCAAGGTTTTTATTAACTTATATACACGTTTATCAATTCTTAAATGTTTCAATTTGATCCAAAGATGGTTTCATTTTGCTTCATACCTAAATTTTCTTGAAACCACTGTAAATATTTCAAATATCATGCTTCACAACACCAAACTACTTCGAGAGTACACAAAATATATATCATATTTATAACAATTTTATACTACCACATCACTTCTACTTGCCATAGTTGCAACGCTTATGTATTGTTTATACATAATTAACACAAAATAGTGTATATTACTACAGCTTTTAATTAAAAGAGACGTTAATTACATTTCCGAGCACAGGACTCTGTTTTTGAAAATAGGACTCCCGATTGTCACGTGAGCGGTGTTGCCACGTTGTTCAGCATGGCTAGTAAGTAGAGTCGGCTGTGGTTAAGTTTATGTTTGGTTAGAAATCTTTCTACTAAACACATATCGAAATAAAATATAACAATTTGTCAATTGTTGAAATAAAGTATAATTATTTTGAAATACATGTCATTTACCCGAATACCATGTGTATCACTGATCCACAATTACCAAAATATGTCTAATCAGTCATTAAATAATAATTAAAAAATTGCACATTAACACGCACAGGACGTTACATTACCCTAAAATGTTTAATTATGATCTTATTAATAAACAGAACAAATCTTGCACAGTTTATATATTTGCGAATAAACAATACATGAAATTAAGCCTCATCAAAAGTATATGTCTTTCTCAAAACTTAAGATGTTGTATACTTTTGTAACATCTATTATTTACAAAACGATACTATGATTCAATATTATATACGAAATTTTTTCTCAAGTGAAAAGTAATTCACTACGCTGACAAAACTGTTAATACAAAATTGTTCAAAAAAATTTTGTAATAAATACATCATTTTTACAGTTCTAGAAATATTGTATTTGTAACATTTTGATCAATACAGTAACACACATCTTCTTTATGGAGGAATTAATAGACAATACTGCTTATAATAATAATAATAATATTGCAGAATTACAATTATAAATAAATGTACTTTGGCATATATCGTGGTTTCTTAAATTATAATGCCATTTTGTTTCTAAGTTTACTTTCATTGTCGACAATTATTTGTAACGCATAATTAAAATAGATGACAAAGTTTAAATAAAATGATATTTCAAATAGAAAGGAAAATTTCAACAAATAAAGTAACGTTATTCTAATAATCTAAACTAAAAGATAAAATTACTTTATTTGTTAAAATTTCAATTATCATTTAAAAATACTATTTTATTTAAAGAACGGAGAAGGGGAGTCTAAGGGGAACTGTTATAGTCCCGGCCTCACTTCCTAAAAAAGACCCTGTACTAAGTGTTCCATTTACTATGTAAAAAAATTCCAAAGTTTGGAATCCACTATAATTTTATAAATTTTAGATCCGATTACTGTTACAAAAATAAATTCTTTTCTTTCAAATTTTGTAAATCATTTAATTATTAAAACATTTATCTTTTCAATGTTTGTCCTTATTATTGCTTATTTGTAGTTCATTAATTTTCTTTACGATTAAAAGTTATTGGATTTTATTTAGAATAAATTTCAAGTTTTAAAAAAAGCTTATCAACCGAGAGGACCCTCGAAGGTTTGATAGCCCCAGGTCCCAGAAATCTTAATCCGGTCCTGTTACATAGTGTTTTAAGATTTATTATTTACAAAATAATAAAATAAATAATAAACTCAGTATTATATATGCAATTTATTTTCAAAGGACAGTAGCAAAATCATTGTTAAAATAATTCTGGTAATAATTTTATACAATAATGTTTATAGAACGATATTAAGCTGAATATACTTGTCAGTACAAACATCAGCTATCATCGTCCGAGATTTTCCTCGTCATGAGCGTGTAAGTTGAAAAATAAAGAGTGGGAGAAACCCTTTTCGGCGTGGACTATAAAACCACGATCGAACGATTGATGAATCGTAGTGTCGTTTTCGCGATTTACCAAGTAACACTTAACAAATTTCTTAGTTGAACAATACTTATCAACATGACGTACTCGAATACGAGAAAGAGAGTTTCCATCATCTCCATTTCGGAACGGATGCAAATACCAACAGTGAAACCAAAAGGTATATATATATATATATATATATATATATATATACACATATGTGTGTCAATTTATATCTTAAGTGAAAATAAAATTGATCTTGATTTTGGTAGACGTCATATCTACAAAAACGTATTTTCCACTATGTTGTTTAAATATTGTGAAAAATAATGATAGAGAATGAGTTTGAGATAAGACACAATTGTTTGATAGATAAGCTCTCCACTTAACAGTGTTTTTTTCTCTGTGCTGTGTCTTGAATTTTTTTAATGTTATGTTTTGACAGAGGAAATGTCAAAAATTTGAGTTAAAATATAATAATTGGGTGGATTATTTCAGAAGATTAATATTATTTGGTTTTGATGATATCAAGATGAGTGTTATTTGTCTTGATTTTTGCAGAGATTGACGCGGTTCGCCTTCATTTAAAATTGTGCTTCTCACGTGTATTGCTTCTTCCACTCATTTTTCATATCTATCGAGATACATCGTACTGATACATCGTGGCGTTTAACTTTTCTTTTCATGAATTGTGCAATTCATTTGATAAGAAAAATTAGTACAGTATAAAAACTCAATATTGTCATTTAAAAATTTATTCAACTATTTTATAAACTTTTTTGAGACCTTATACCATTTAACTGTTGAAAAAACATTAATTTATGTAGAATATGTCAACGCACTTAAAAATGTTTATTTTTAATTTTATTTTACTCTAACAACAGCAATTTAATTTCTAATACCTTTTCGTATAAACACTCGGTGATAAATAAGTATAAAATAATGTAAATATGTATTTTCTATAACGAATCTCTCATTGCATGACCTTTTTTTTAATTTGGAAGGAAATACAGTTTTAAACAATAAAAAAGTACCTTTTTATTTATTTAAAAAAATTACATAATTATGTATGCAAAATTTATGATTTCAAATAATCAGTTCACTTCTAATATTTCGCAAAACATAATTTATAGTTACCATTGTTTATAAAATACAAGATATTATGAAATAGATTTGCTAATTCTAATCTGTTATACAAATACCTTTTTAACAATCTATCACATCACATACCGCTGAACGCTGAAATGAATATTCATTTCTTCTTTACATAAATAACTAAAATTGCATCAATTATACTTGCAATCAGAAATAAGATACTTCAGATGTTTAATTTGAATTTTGAAAATTTGTAAGCAACCGAGCAAGTTTTTATTTATTAATTAATTTATTTTGGGATGAAAAATATCTTTTTTAGAGTACTGTGAATTTTAAGTTACATTCATTTTTATGCATTAGTTTTATAGAATTAAATTCACTATTTAAAAATTATTAATGCTTAAGATTTTTGTTCTAATTGTTATTATTATGTATTTATAAGATTTTAATGCTTTATTATTGAGAAAGTGCTCATTTGAAAAACATTATAATTTGTAATAATAATTTATAAATTTATAATAAATTATAATTATAATATTATAATTACAGTTTTGTAAATTTAGAATCCAGAAGATTTGAAAGTATTAATTATAACATTTTCTGAATAACAGCTGTTAATTAATTATAATAATACTTGCAAGAAAAAAGGAGCATTTATTTACTTTTAGGCTAAGAATTTTCAATAAATTAATATTCATACCTTGTATTATTCCTAATCTACGCGCTACGAATACAGAGTCGTTTTAACTGAATCATTTCTTTAAATGCAGAGCATACAACACACATTGGGTCAAAATGAGCTAGTATTTGGCAGATTTAAGTTTCAAAACAAAATTTTTAGTCCACATTTTTGAGATTAAAAACTTGTCAAGTTTCCAAATTCAAATTTTAAGGTTTCAAACTTCAAACTTTCAAGTTTTAGAACGCAATGTTTCAAAATTCGGAAATTCAAATGGCATAGTTACCAAAATTGTGAAATTTCAAAATTTTTTAATTAAAAATTTCAAGTTTTATAGTTTTAAGATTAAATAACTTTGAACTCAGGGGTCATTTTAATCTAGTATGAATTCTATATTTCTATGTGTACTCCTTTTGTTATGTATACATATGTATATACTTTGTTATACCTAAATACTTGAATTATACCTACTCCTTGATACAACAATTGGCAGTGATTAATAGGAGCAGTCTAGAGAATATCACATACAATAAACATTACAAAAAGAAAATATATAAGAATATATAATATAAAATAATACTTATACATAAGAAATATAAGATATAAATATACATATAAAATTAAATAAATTAAGTATAATATAAAACTTATTTTATATATATATTTAAATCTTATATTTCTTATGCATAAGTATTACTCTTTCTATATATATATATATATATATATTTTTTTTTTAAATGTTATTACAACATAATAGCATTTTAACATTCTGATACTTTATTAAAACATTGTGACCATTATTTGTAATATGTTAGTTGGACTAAATGTTTTATTCGATCGAGGCACATCAAATTACGAAGGATGTATTAAGAACACGTTTCACGTGGCTGTAATCATCGTACCATGAGATAATGTAATTTTGTTTAAGTAATGCGTGCAGTGTGTATAAGTATACGTGACGAATCGCTTTGAATTCCAAGATGTGACGCCACACAGCTCGTCAATGTCAGATTTCCCGTGATGTCCTAGAAATGTGAAACAAACGAATTG